GAAATTTAATAAGGGTGGCAACTTTTCATTAATTCTGCTACTTTTAAATACTTAGAACTTTCAGCCATGTGCTGCTGGGCACCAACTTTATGCGAAAATATCGCAATTTTTGTTGTAGTAGCAGTTTTGGTAAAAAATTTCGTATAAATAATTTGTTTTTGTGTAATCGGTTTAAACAAATTTAAATAAATAAACGAAAAAAAACGTTTAAAACTAATTTTTTTTTTAATTAAAAATAGCTGGCAACGCTTAAAATTGTATTTTTATAACTTTCTTTTATATTTCAAGGTTTGGTGTATAATATTTTTTTAATATTTTCAAGTTTCGTGTTTACAATAATTTCAACATTTTATAAAGGTGGCAACTGTGTCTGCTGTTAACTCGAAAAAATATTGTTTTAAAATAATAGTTAAAAATGAATGTATATTTAGCTTTAAATTTCTAATATATATATTTTTTTGTAATATTTTATTTTTGCTTTAGTTTTAAGGCTTGGCTTAAGAAATAAGTATCAATAAAACCTGCTGCTAAATTCGATAAGCGTGGCAACTCTGCTGCTATTTTTAAATAAATTTAAATTTTCATAATTTTAGGAACTTTGTATTCACACTTTGCGGTTCGTTTTAACGTATTTTCATATAATTTGATCTACTTTTAATTCATGGCAAGATGGCATCTCTACAAAATAGTTTTTTTTTATTAAATAATATTTATAATTTGTTAAAATATTTTATTTTTGCCTTTAAATTTTTTTTTTATTTCGTGTATGGTTTAAAAATTTTGTTTTAATAAATTCGATAAGTATGGCAACTCTGCTGCAATTTTTAATGAATTTAAAATTTTGAAACTTTAAGAACTTTGTGCTAGCACTTYGAGACCACTTTTACAATATATGTACATATATTCAAACAATTTTAATTTCAGGCAAGATGGCAGCTCTACAAAAATATTTTTGTTTTTCGTACACAAATTGTTAATTAGTATTTGTAAACTGTTTTAAAAMGTTAATTTTTTATTTAGCGCTAAGACTAATAATTTATTATAGTTTAAATATAAAAGCAAAACCACACAGATAGTTACATATGTATGCATGAAGGTACATACATACGTATGTATGTAAGTGTGTATGTACCACTTTAATGCATTTGCTACTAAACTTTTACTGCTCACGTGCTTAACGGACATTATGCGTCACCATGTTGAATGATGGGGACATCGCAWCGAACRCACATACACAGATAYACATACATATGYATGTACGAGTATACACTAACTAACTGAACTATTAGTATGTGTGTGTGCGCTGTGTTTTGTTACTAATGACAACCGAAAATAATTAATGTGAAGCTTGCATGTTTAAATAGTAGCACTAGTCAGCGTACAACAACAGCAACAACATTAGCAACAAAGTGAAAACACATTTGAAACTCCCCTTAATAGTGGTGATTTATTTAGGAAACTCGCTTAGTCTGTCTGGTCCCCCTCACTTGCAGTTGAAGCGGTGGCTTGATTTTCATCRACTAATGCGCCAATAAAGCAAAAAACGGTAAATGACTAAAATAAAAATTGCTTGGTGATGGGGCAAAGAACGTTTAATGCTCACGCGACTTCCACCAAAGCAGCAACAAAGCGCTGATTATTGGCGTTGGTTAGCTTAGCTTTTGATACAATTTTGCACACAAAAACAAAAACGTACACTATGATGTAATTAACTTTTGTCACGTTTCCATTAAAATTTTTAGTGAGTTGATTTCTTTTAGTTTTAATGGATATTATGTTATCGGAGTTTGTTCTTTACGAGAAAAAATCAATAGAAGGTAATAAAGATAGATATGCAAGTTTTTTTTGTATGTGTTTATATACTACATATTATAGAATTGGTGTGTTGGGAAATTAAATGTTGATAACGGTTTTATCTGAAATTAAATATCTAGAATCACTCGCTTTTTGTTTTGAATAAGACACTTGTTTGTTTAATTAATTCAACTTTTGAGATCGCAATAGACGGTGCTGGTGTTGATATTTATGTATGTATATATGGATGAGAGAGCCGGAAAATGCGTGAGTATGAAGAGCTTGACAAGCTGGCCATCAAGGCTAATGCCATACTTTTTCAGAACTTTCAGAGGTGATCTAGTGACTAGCATACCCAGAGCATATTAAAATTATGGAGAGAACACTTCTCCAGTCTGCTGAATGGAAGTGAATGCATAACGCCAGGAGATGTTGAACCCGATTCTCCAATCGATGACGTTGGATGACGCTCCATTGCCCGACTGAAGAAGTTCGAATAGCAATTATTCGTCTGAAGAACAACATAATGGCC